AGTATAACTTAGTATCACGTCAATCATTCCTTCTACCTTTATATTATGAGGCTTTCTATGTGATCATCTTTAATTATCATCTTTAAGAAAACTATTATTTATTAAATTATTTGATGTATTCCTATATTTATCTAGTTCATTAAACAATTTAGTAGCTTTATACATACGAACTATAAATTCTTAACTTGTCCATATCCATTGTGAGGTGTTGGGAGAGCGCATCGCCCATCAAGTGGCTTCACTGAAATTAAGGATTAACCGAAGTAAACCACGAAACGACTTGGGTCATTTTTGATCCTTCTTCTTCTCGGATGTCTTTATTGAGTTAAAGCTAAAGTGGCTTTCATTCACATAACTGTCTCTTGTTATTATAAGCGCTCATTTAGCTTGAGGTTGGCTGTCAAGTCTTCGCCAACCTAATGGTGTGTGAGGACAGTCATCCTTCTGTTTGCTAGTACTGGATGTTGGCATAATATATGCACCGTTGTCTTCTTTTCTTCTAGACACAGTCTACAAGTGTCTTCCTTAATAAGAGTTATCTTTTTGAGGTGGTATTTTAAGTTTCCATGTCCAATAATCATTTAGGGTGCTATACGGATAGCTAAACACTTTTATTGCTTCACTGGTCAATGGTTTTGGCATTATGTCTACAAGTGCTCATCTCTTTTTCTACTTGTTAAGACGAAGTGAAACTATCCACTTATCGATATAGGCAGCAGTCATGTTGCAGCCTGATGATATTTTGGGCTCTAAGCCGCATAAGTTATGTCTTGATTCTTGCTTTGCACTGTTTTGCTCAATACCGATATGTCCTTTAACCTACATGACTGTTTCTATGAGCACCTCATTTCTATGAGCACATTCCATGAGATTGGTGACACATTCTTGTACTAAACTGTTGACTATGCACGTCTTTTGCATGCTTTTGATAACTGCTTGATTGTCCAGCGCTGTCAGAATCTTTTTATGTTACACTTGACAATCCAATAGGTGAATCAGAGCATATTAGACCATCATATGTTTCGCCTGATAGACTGAAACATATTTTCCTAGATGTGTAGTGCACGCTAGCTTTAGCTCTTTAGAGTAAACTCCAAGTTTAAAGTTTAGAGTGACTCTTTAGAGTGAACTTTAGAGTAACCCTGTCATCCATCAAGGAGCCATCGGCAAAGACGCAGATGACATTTGCGTCTTCCACATTCATCATGTAGAAGGCTGTCTACTATTAGTGTTCTATAGATCACATAAACTCTCCTCATACCACCTATTTCTTAATATATAAATCCAGCGGAAACAGACCTAACATCGTCTCTAACACCAGTGTTGTCGTGGTAAACATAGCACCCAATATTCGAACACAGACTAGTCGTTGGATTTTTGGCAACTGACGCATATGTTGTAATAGATGCGACCATCAGCGTGTAGATCAAGTGTGTAGCTTTTGAGGTTAACCCCCATCGTCTCTTAGAAATATTTAAAAAGTGAAAATTAAAATACAATTACACAAAAGTGAATATTAAGTGCAGGAATGTGCTTTACAATAGTACTTGTAAAAATACAGAAAAATGTGTTCTCTAAGCAGTAGCGAATAGCTTGAATTTCCATAAGATAGATAGTTTAGTAACTTTTTTATGACTATAGTTCAAGTTTTTTAAAACCCTGAAGTTCCAGACTCATAAAACGCTTAACAGCTGCTGTGAGTTTAAATACCCTGTGTTCCAGAATTAAAATTTTAGACGGTTCTTAATTAGTTCTACATTTATCAAGCGAGAATGTTTTGTGAAATTGGATATATATTATGTGAAAGTATTAATTTTTATATTTTGATATCTACATTTTCTTTAAGACATGATTTTCTATTTAAAATCCCATTCGCAATATTATTCGACTAAAGCTATCCTCTTCGAAATTCCTACCTCCTATGTAGGTGCAAATTTGGGTGAATCAAGGAATGAATGCAACGTTATGGTATCACTAAGCCTAAAATATAGTTCACATGCCAGTGGAAGAAGAGTCTACTTTGTAGTACTCGTTAACGATTAACCTCTGTTTCTGTATATTGCACTTTGTAAAAAAAATTTTCTAGCTAAAAGAAAATATAGCGAGTTTCTTCAGATTTCTTGAAATCTAAAAATCTAAATCTAAAAAAAAATATTTGGAGTTTAAGGCACTTTAATGGGACATTCATCATCAATTATACATCAACATATCTGATACATAATGTATACATCCAACATAAGCTTGTTATTTTTTCGCACTGTCTCACACTTTGCCTACACTAATCTTTTTTATGTCTAATCTGAAGACATGAATGAAACAAATACCGAACAATGACAACAAGTCCATAATCCAACGATTTGGTAGAGCATTTGGTAGCGTTTCATTGCAATTCTCTGAAATCTCTTAATCGATTTATACGAAGGTACGAGAGTATATTGCAACGGCAGTGCTTGGCTTATGAAATATTCGATTTCTTTCGAAATGGCTGCACAATTCCTGTGCTCTTATTTAGCACTAAAGTTGGCACGTACATTGTTTGAAACAGTTTATATTAAATGGTCAATACTGTGTAAATTAAGTTCAAAATAAGTAAAAATGTTAAGTTTAGCTTAACTCAAGTTAAAATACCTTACACACACTATTATTTAGAATAAAATACATCCCAATTGGTTCAAAATATAGAGTCATTTTTCTGTAAAAATGTGTATGTGACCGAGCATATATGTTGGTATGGCAGCCTTATTAGAATATGAACCCAGAGAAATTTTTTTCAAATTTTCAAACAATAATGAGATTATAATGAGCAGTTTATAGAAATGTATATATTTCCGATATTTATTCACTGCCAATAACATAATATGGTCGAGTCCCAAGTCTTAGTTTGAAGATTTCGGGAGTCTTAGTTGATATGTTCGTTAGTTATACTGTAATAAGGTTTTAGATTACCTTATAGAGATCGGCGTTTCTGACATATCATATTGCAATTGTAATGTCTCTTAGCACTTTCCTTTGAAAATGTTGATTTTTGTTAACTCTCAGGTCAAGCTGACTTTACATTTGTTTATATCAGAGACTGATCTTATTATATTGAAAATATATTTTATTTATTATCTAGCCTCAATTTTAAGAAATCATGTCCCTTCCCTTAAATCATGTCCCTTAATGCCCCTTCCAAAAGGATTGAAATCATAGTACTATTTGTCTAGTTCATAAGATTATATGTAGACAAGCGGACACTGGTACAGCAATTCATCTGGTCAAGTTGATCAAGAATATGGGGCACAAATACGTTACATACATCATGGCGAAGAATACCCGATTTTCATTTATGTGAGTATGAAGGGTGTATAATGTTCAAACGGAAAAAATCGCACAAATATGTCGTCTAAGAGCCTGAGTGTGGCAGTGTGCAATTTGAAATTAGTTTTTGCAATATTAGACAAATGTTTCAACTTCAGCTGAAATTGTTAAACACTAATTTGAGATTAAAAGGTTTCTTCAACATTATTTACATTTTTTATAAATTTAATAGTTTTTTTAGGTTTACGTTTTTTTTATAAATTTTTATTTGGCCTGAGCAAATTTTCCTTGGTTACTTGCAATCTTCAGATTCATCTACCTGTATGTACCAGAAGTGACAGATATAATTTAGCTGTAAACTTGCCAGTCAGCATAGTTGATGTTATTGTATCTTATTATGTGTAGATAGAAGCTCGGTCTTATCTACCTACCTGAATGAATGCCATATTTTTCCGTTGCCTGAATGTTGCCGTTAGTTGCCTTTTTGCGAGTGATAAATTTTTCAAGTGTTGTCAGTCTCTAATTTGACAAAGTGAAGTTTATTTGTTTGGTTACTCTTGCTCCGCTTCCAGTTGGTAGCTAGAGCGATATGAAGGGGTGCTGGAAACGTCATTCAAATTTGTAACCACAAGGCCACGTAATCCCATTTTCGAAACTGCAAACAATCTACTGGGTTGCACGGGACATGAATGACAATTTCATATGACAGGCAAATTAAACATTGCATGTTTCAAATTATAATTGCAATTAGATAAAATATCATTTATTCAATAATGCAGTAACTAAATGATACTGTGTATTATAACAGCACGAAGGAACGATTTCAATTGTTTAAATATATACACAGAGCAATAGATTTAACACTTATATAGTATCTCATATAAGTAAACAAATTGATAAATTGACATTTGTGAAGGTCGAACTGCATCAATTATAACCTATAAATGATATGAAAACGACTACCTGATCTAGTTAAACTGTCTTAAATAAAAATCAACTATTGCTATAAATATTGACAATAAAATTATATGAAAAAAGAACAATGTATGTCTTATAATACTTAATAGTAGTGAAATACCAAAAAGCGAACATTATTTCACAACTTTGTTTCAAATTCAGTAAACAAAATACACCGTAGAGACGGTCTACATGCTCTGCAACACAATAATTTTCATGCATAAGAAGTAATTTTTATGATTTGTAGGTCAACTCTGTCGTTACAGTTCAAGTCACTTTTACTTTTCTTCATTAATCTCAGTTTCTTGTAACTATAATCTGATTAATAGTCTCAATCATCCGTTCAGACTAGAGGAAACTACTATGCATATTCTTTGTGACTATCCATTTTTAATAACGCACAGAAGAAACTTGTTTCATATGAAATTTCAGTCACCAAAAGAGATTAAGAGCTCTTGTCTAGATTTTATTCTGGATTTTGTTCACAATACTTTAAAGGGGTTTGTGTAATCAATAGTGAAATTGGTACAATAGGACTCTTCTGACCGTAGTACCGGCTGCTGGGCGATTTCACGCGAAAGCATTTAATAATTAAATAATAATAATAGTTCTCTCGCTTTAATCGACTCTGTTTACATATGAGCCCAATTTTTGAAGGAGAACTGACCAATGTTCGAAGCCTCAGAAGGTATATTATATATATTCTATATTTAAATACAAAACATATCAATATAAATACCGCAAAATACATAAAAATTTATTATAAAATACTATAAAATTTTTTACAAATATCAAATATGTATATTATTATAATATTATATATTACATATATATATATTCCATAAACATTTATGCATACCTATATATGCATATATATAAATAAGACAACAATTTATGCTTTTATTCCCTACACAATGCTTTCTTTTTAGTAGTTAAAAACTAGTATGTAAAGTTTATGAAAAATAGATAGAACTAAGAAGTTTTTTTTATCGGTCACTACTTAATAAAAAGATATTTTTAATATAAAAAATATAAATGTTTCGCCAAATTGTTCGTTATTGCTTATTTTGTAGTTTTATTTCATTTACTTAACAAAAATGTTTTACTATATAAACAATTTATTTGTATAAAATATAGTAGAGAAAATAATAAATTTTTAAAAATTCATTATTTTTGACAATTGCTAATAATTGTTGTTGGAAACCAGCCTTTACAATAATTTTTTTTAATATTTATAAAAATTGGCAATATTTCAGAATTTATTAATAATTTGTTATTTTGTTATTTTGTTATTTATAAAAATACATCCAAATATATGAAACAGTAACCACATCAATTTATTATTATGTATATGATAAATTGTAAGTGTATGTGTAATTTGTGTAATGTATATATATAAGGTAATTGGTAACTTTGTATAAATTATGTACTCGTACCTAAAACTAAATTGTTTTTGTTTTGTATAAGTTGTTCTTTGAAAATATCTCAGAGATGTGAAATAAAAATTCTAAACTTCAAATCGAATGCATATCGATGTGCAACATAAAATAATAAATAAAAACAGAAAAAATTTTAAATTATGTTCAACAAAAGATCACGTTTTTCTTAAAGAACTTATAAAACTAAATAAACAAAAAATTAAAAAATCTAAAAATATTGTACATATCGAAAAAATAATAATAATTTCACAAATTCAACACTTAATTTCACATTGCTTAGCATAGTTTCTTAATGCTTAGATTAAATTATCGTGTTGTTTTTAATTTCCAACGCAAAAACATATACGCTGAAATTCTCAATACGACAAAGATGACAATGAGCGCCACAATGTCAAGTGTGAAGTCAGCGTTCACCATATCCAATTCCTCTAAAGTAGTTATTGGGGACTTGAAATGGCAGTAGGTTTGGAAACACCTTAGTTTTTCACGACCAAAGCCATAGGTGGCCAAAGCAGTACCTTCGAAACCATAACGTATATATGATAGATACGTAATCCAACGTAGGTAAACGGGTATGGCATCGAATGACACAAAGAAGCCGGAAAATAGTAAGAACGGCACAGACATGACTGGTGCCAAAAACACGCCATTTTGTACGTTCATAGCAGCGCCTACAACTAAACCCACAGATTGTGCCACAAATGATATCATTAAACAAGCAGCCAAGAACATGGAATATCGGAACATCTCCCACGGTTGTGAGGTGAAGTAGTATACAATCGTCACGTAAATAACACAGAAAATAGCCTAAAATTTAAATGAAGATGAAATCGTGAATAACAATGATTTATACTGTATTATAAAACTCACCTGGAATGGTAGATCAGCAACAGATATAGCCAAATAATATGACTTTAAAGAATACCAACGATTAAAGTTTTCCTTCAATAGTACCGGCATTTCGAGAGGGACTAAAAACAAAAATATATTATTGCATTCATATTATTTAATTAGCGTTCGAATAATCGTTTTTAGTATTTCATATATATATTTTATATATTCTTATATAGCTAGAATGGATGTGAGTTAAAACAGTAGGTCTACGTGTCTGTTGTTAAAAAAGTGAATCACATAAGAGGAATCGACCTGGATTCTCAATCATGTAGTTGCTAAACATTAGTAAAGGTCTACTTATCAAACTAGAAAAACTAAATATCGAGTTGAACAAGGTCTTTTACTATGGAGCATAGTCCAAGGGAAAAAGTATAATTCTTAAAATTTATATCTATACATTGTTTGCATTAATGATGTTTGTTTGTAAAGTGAGAAATATGCACTGATTTCTACAATATTAATTATAAATTTTTAATTTTTTTTAATTCTTACAGAAAATTTAATTTAATTTGTATGTAATAAAACACACCTTTTTAAAAAATATTAAAGCTGTTATAAAGTATATACTTGTAATATGGGTATATGGTATATTCGATAATATAGGGCTCAAGACACTTGTAGCTATGGTTTTTTTTTTAATTTTATTTTACAAAAAGGAAAAGTCTTTGAAGAGTTATTTAAAAATCTAAACAGATTTTGCGTAAGAAAATTATAAACACTATATTATAAACTCCAACAGTTTATACACATATAAAAGCATATGAAAATGTGTACTAATATCATATATTGGGTCGATTGATAAATACCCGGCCTAAGTAAAAAAAACATTTTTTTTGTAAAACCATTATATTATATATGATGCTTGACACACCGAGTCCAATGATCTTTTAACATTTTGGAACCTTCTAAATAATACTATTTATCCAGTTCTCCAAAATATACCTCAGATACACTAATGTGATTCCACTTTATCATTTGAAGCAAACCTCTTTTACTGGAGCTGTCTCTTCTAGTTTGGAATATGGTGGGTGAGGAAGCAATTTGTACTGTAATTCATTTAATTTTGCCCTGATTTCTATTGACGTGTGAATGGCTGTGTTATTCTGCATAAACAAAATTTGAATTTTTTTCTTCGACAAATGTGATCGCTTTTTCTTGATTTCCTCATACAATGGACCCAATAATATGCAATCTCAAAATACGGACGCTAAAACTTTTTCAACTGATGGTTGAGTTCGTGGTCGTTTGGGAGCACTACCCCCGGGGTCTACCCATTCTCTGGTTTCTAGCTTTCTCTCAGGTTTTGAAGATATGGATCCATGTTTCATCAATTGTTACTACTCGACGCAAAATTGTTGTAGTTTTTGGTCGATTGTGAGCAAACGCGGCACCCATACCTATCTTGCCGAAAGCTTTTTCATACCTAAATATTTTGGACGAACCGGACCCTCTTCATCAAAAACACTCGTACGACCACGTTTAAATTCAGGTTTCCAATTTTTTATTGCTGTTAACGATGGTGCAAGGTTGTCGTAAACAGAATCCATTTTCATCATTGTTCATTCCTTTCAAATGAAAGAATTTTATAATTGAACGCTGAATATCGTCGTATCTTTCCATTTTATAAAAAATCACCAAGGTGCTCTGTTTCCTGTTTCCTGTTCTGGCGTTGCCACCTGTTGTGAAGTCAGGTAATTATCAATCCACCTAGTGGAGGACTCTGCTACTTATATAAATTGAAAATATTTTTAATAAAAAAAGGAGGAAAATTAAGATTTCGTTTATCTTTTGGGATTAAAGGAACTGTATATTCATGTTAAACGGACTACCACTGGTATGTATCATCTCGATTTCGTTCTATTAAAGCTTTAATAACTCTTACTATCCTTCAGATAGTTTAGTTAAATATTTAAGATTGACAATGTCTTTCATTGACGTTTCGAACATTTTGACATTATTATCCTATCTATCACTCTCAAATGAAATATTAATAATGTCATAACGTTTATTAAAAATGATAACTTATGATGCAGTGCGAAGGTGTTTGTGAGTATTTTACATGGATTTTGGCAGGTATTGCCTTAAATACTTTAAAATTATTTCAATCAAAAAGCAATTGTTTAAATGTTAAGAAAATTTAACACAAGTTTAAAATTTATAAGACACGTTCAACAACTTCACTACAAAATGTTATTTAATTTATGGTAAAGATGACATTCTTAAATTACTTAGCATTTTTAAACTAGTTGTCTAATATTCAAACTTGGACCTATTCAAATTTATCTTAAACTGGAGATAAACAAATGTGGATTTCAGTAATTGTTCAATACTATATCAGCTAATTTTTAGGTTTTAATAATATAATATTATAAGATACTTAATTTAGGTCTTATGCATCTAATAAAATGCACATAATAAAATTGATTGAAAATGACGTACATGATAAGATCGTTATTGTCATGGAAGTATACATCAAGAACAACATGTTGAAAAAGAGAAAACCCAAATTACTCAAGACTTTAGCACCATCGTTACCGATATCGTAGTAGAGAGCACCGATTAGAAAACCAACCAATAAATGAGCAAATAAGCGCAGATACATCAGAGTCTGAAAAAAAAAATATAAATTATTAAAATGGATACTTTCATTATCTTTCATATAATTTTAACTCACCCAATCACGATAACTAAACAAGAGTGTACGCTTAAGCACAACCCAGAATTGATGAAACTGTGAAGTGGGATAACGCTCGGGGGAAGTTATTTCTGCCGATAGCAAAGCTGTTGTGCAATTATCAGCTTTCTCCATATCGATCATAGCATCACCTTTTTCATTAGTACTAACCACAGCTGTAGTGGGATTGGAAACACTAGAATCTTTGGCAATATCATTCACTAAATTACCATTTAAAATGCCATTATTCATTGTCAGATTACCCTCGTATTTACCGCCACTGACATTAGCTTTTATATTGTGCACCTTAACTAGATCTGTACGTACTTTTAAGTTAGCATAATCGGCTGATGTGCGTATATCTTTCTTGCCATTATCGATAGCATCGACTAATCTGCGTGTGTGATCACCATGCTCACCACAAGCAACCTCGATCACATAACTGGCTGGATTGTGATAACTGGGACATTCTAAATTGAGAGTTCCAAGGAATGGCACTAATTGTTTTGTGCTGCCCTGATAAACACATTGTCCATCGGCGAGCGTATATAATTGATCGAACATTTCAAAGAGACGTGCTGAAGGCTGATGTATGGTGCAAATGATGGTTCGACCACCAGCTGCTAACATTTTCAACAAATGTATGCACTGGAAACAAGTTGAACTATCTAAACCAGACGTCGGCTCATCAAAGAACATAATCGGTGGATTGCTAACTAGCTCCAAGGCAATAGAGAGACGTTTCTTTTGTCCGCCTGATAGATTACGCGTCAATGTATTACGATGTTCACTTAAACTTAGTGTCAGTAAAATATCGTCAATCTGTGAATAAAAAAAGGTAAAAGAATTTTTATTGTTAAAATTATTAAGTCATAAATATGAGGAAACAAATTTCTTTAAAAATTGTTGATTTCGATTAAAACCCATTCGAAGTGATATTGAGAATCGAAAATGTATCAATGTTCCGAAATTCACGACCTCAGTGGAACCATATATCCAATTTGGTGCAAATTATAATCATCACTATAGATTAGCAAGACTTGAGAGACTTATATGATTTAAGTTCAAGAGGAATAGGTAGTTAGTTAGTTCTATCTTTATAAACTCTTTATAAACATTTATTACACTATTGTTAAGTTAAATAATAAAATTTAATAAGAAATGTACGACATGGCTTCAATCGTCTGTCGGAGAAGTACAAGATTAATATTTTGAAATCATGTTTAAATGGATTTATACCTCATATTTAGAAGATAGGTTCAGAAGAACTGTGTGGAAATGGAAATGAAGAGTTTAATTTCGATATTAAGTTAATATAAATATAGAATGTTACATATAATAGGTAATATATAGGTTTTTGTACATACACTAATGTGTTCAAAGTGATTCATTTATATTTAATTAGCAGAAAACAGTGAAAATTAGTGGAATTGAATAATATCATCTCATGAATATATTTTTAGTAGTGCACGATCCCCTTAAGTTAAGATAAAATTTCCACAAATTTGATTGATATTAAAAATAAAGGTATATTAGACTTTCAAAGAAGCTTCTTAAGAGAATAGCTCTTTAAACTAGCTTAGAAGTTTTCGATAAAAAGTTCAGTTTATAAATGACAGACTAAAAGTCGAAAAATAAGTTAAATGTATTGATATTTTTGCTTTCTTATTGAGTAAATATAATATGAGCATATTCACTAGAGAGGGTGAAGAGAAGAGTATATCTCTAGAATAAATCTATGCAGTTGACAATGCTGTGGAGGAGATGGGGACAGTTGTAAGAGTGAATATTAAAGCTAAAGCAGATGATATTGCATCAGGATATTGAGGACTACAGAAAAGTTCACAAAAAGTATCAATTTTATATATCTTGCCAAAGATTGGATAATAAGACATGATGTGATCTGAATTTTTAAGAGCAGTAGTAGTTACGTCAGGACTATGTGCGATTTTGACTAGATCGCTTTTATATAAAAAAAACTATTTTGATTCAATAAGTGAATAGAATTGCTGGGGATTTGTGAACCTTTTTGGTGGACGTCTTTATGTGGGTTTTGACTAAGATAAGGCTATTTTTTTTACTAACTTTGTTTACCTGCAGAATTTAAAAAAGATCTTATAATTTAAAGAGTCTATAAGTTGTCTAGTAGTAGTAGTGTTCATATAATATATAATTCGCATATAACTCAGCTTCAGTTAATTTTAGTTTAAATAAATTTTTGAGAAGAAGAAAAAGACAACTAAAAATGTGAAAAAAAAATTATAAGAAGAAAAAAAGATAAGGAGTTAATATACAAAGTTTAATTCCCCATTTTTTCTCAAGGCATTAATAAAGCGATGAAGTAAAATATCGGAGAACAGAAAGTATTAAGATAATAATCTGTCCGCATGGTTTTCAATAATACTTAGCCTCTTAATTTCTAAGTTTTTATGCTAGCCTTTAAGTTTGTAAGTATATTTTATTTGATTAATTTGTAATAATAATTTTATCTCTTATATTTAAGTTGTATTAAAGTATTGGGAAAGCCAAAGCTAACTTTCTTTTTATTTTATTACTAAACTTCAAGAATATCTATACAAGAACCATGCCCTGTTTTTGAACTAATACCTTAGATTTTATAAAGCTAATTTTTAACATCAAAAATGAATTATTTATTTTTTGCAAGTAGGAAATAAATCAAAACATTTTTAGAGTTTGTACGGAAATCGAAGTGTACACGCGCCAACTAAGATTACGTACTGTCAGTCTACCAGTCTCAAATATGAAGACAACTCAGAATTTGTGAGATTTACCGGTTTTACAACTAATAGAAACGCTTCCGACTGAAGACGTACTTTAGCAGAAGCGGTCGCGTTTATCTCTGACTCTGGTCACTTAAGCCTTGCATGACAAGAAATTTCAATCTGACAGCAACAAAAGCCGCCACTAAACAGCAGATTTAATGATAATGATTAATTTTATTTCAGAATGATTTTTTTTCCGAATGTAGATTGTTCATAACTGAATACAGATAAAATAAAAATAAGTACAAAGTAAACTTAAATAAAATAAACACCAACTAATGATTTGTAATTAGAATTCGCTTGAATTGTAGATTTTAAAGTGAGGCAAATGCTCAATTTCACAGAGAACAATTGGAATTGGAATTTCAATTTATTATTTGAAGAAAACAATAATTATATATTTTTTAATTAAAAATTAAATAATAATAATTACGAATATCAGTTTTAAACACATTTACTTACAAAATCGCAATTTAATATTATTTTAATGAGAGAAAAAAAGAGGTTCAGAACAAACACAATAGTTATTGTTATAAAATATCATTCCTACTCTATTTTACCCTCCAATACACCCATTTCTAACCTAAGCATGTTTCCTGAATCATAGGCTTCCGTGGGTCGCAACAAAATATCAGAAAGTGTATATTCTTAAATACAATTTATGTATAGTCTGTACAGCCATACATAGAAACATTGGAAAAACTCATTATTAAAGACAATAAGTAACTCTCTCTCTCTCTCCCTCTCTTGTGCATTATCTTACTGTTTACATATATCTTTAATTAGTTCACGAGCAAATATTTGTTAATTGGATATTAGGCAAATACTAACCATTGAATTCTTCTCAGGTTTGGTAAATTTCTTGCTCAATTTCAAATTTGTGGCCACGGTCATTGCTTCCTGGACAGTTAAGTTACCATGCAACTGATTGTCCTGCATAATGTACGCCGACAATTTGCGGAATGCGCTCAAGTTACGTTCGTGGCCGTTCATAGTGACGACGCCTTCAATGCTCGATGTTCTGAAAAATAAGATAACACTCTTAAGTATATGTTGATGAAAATGTAAAGATGTATTAAAAACATATTTATAATAATATTTATTATAAATATTATAAAAAAAATTGTGTTAAATAATGAATACGAAGGGTTTAGTAAAGAAATTAAATGTAGTGGTAAAAGATACAAACAAACCTACTATAATAACCTAGGCATTTAGCACAGGTAGCGGCTCAAAAAGGGGACTTGAAGGAATGCTCGAAATTCCCCTGTTGAAGAAGAAAATGGAGTGGTGAAAACCGCAAACGAGGAACAAAGCAGTGTATGGAAGAAATATTTTGAACGAACTCTAAATGTTTTCCAATTGGTAGGAAAGAGTCTATTATAATGAAGCTACCTTAGAAGGGCGATAGAAAAAGTTGCAATAATTGGACAGGAATATGATGGCTGCTCATAATAATGAAAATATTCAACAAGATTATCTTAGAGAGTAAAGCTATGACCTTAAATAGTACTATATGTAGCAGGTCGGCTTTCGACCTGCTACATGAAAGGTCATGCACAGATCAAATTAACATGGTGAGCAAATTTTTGGAGCAGGCAGCGGAATTCAACTCAACACTATATCTTACATTTACTATTTTTAGTAGATTTTTAAAGTACGTTCGTGCTTGAAGAATAATAACAAAATATATTTCTAACAATCTAACAAAAGTATGAATTTAAAAAAATTTAGTTGAAAATAACAGAAAAAAAAATAAATAAATAAAAATTATGCGTTCTACAATAAAATTGTTTTTTTAAAGGTGATGTTTTTCTGTATTTAAATTCTAAGTAATTTTTTTTACCCGAAGTTGTCTTAAGCGTTTTATTTTAATTCAAAATTTAATTTAAGCTTTTAGCACGATTGCTTTGCGCTACACCAGAATCATTACGGCATATAAGATGCTCTAGTTTATGAGAAATTAAGAGTTTACCATTCGTAGTATAAACTTCCTGCTATTTTCAATAATATTTACTTAATGTTTAAATATTAATGTTAATGTTTACTCTGAGTCTAAATGATTTCCTAGTAATAAGTAAAACACAATGGGACAAAAATTTCAAGCTAATATATGTCTGAAGTGCGAATTATTAATGAGGGATCGAGAGACATCAGAAGGAGTGAGAGAGGGACAGAAAGAGAACGAAATAAGAAGGAGCGAGAGAAGAAGAAAAAGAGAAAGAGAAGAAGAGAGAAGAGAAGAGAGAGAGAGAGAGAGAGAGAAGGAAGAAGAGAGAGAGAGAGAAGAGAGAGAGAAGGAAGAAGAGAGAGAGAGAAGGAAGAAGAGAGAGAGAGAGAAGGAAGAAGAGAGAGAGAGAGAGAAGGAAGAAGAGAGAGAGAGAGAGAAGGAAGAAGAGAGAGAGAGAGAAGGAAGAAGAGAGAGAGAGAAGGGAGGAGAGAGAGAGAGAAGGAAGGAGAGAGAGAGAGAGAGAGAAGGAAGAAGAGAGAGAGAGAGAGAGAAGGAAGAAGAGAGAGAGAGAAGGAAGAAGAGAGAGAGAGAAGGAAGAAGAGAGAGGGAGAAGGAAGAAGAGAGAGAGAGAAGGAAGAAGAGAGAGAGAGAAGGAAGAAGAGAGAGAGAGAGAAGAGAAGAGAGAGAGAGAAGGAAGAAGAGAGAGAGAGAAGGAAGAAGAGAGAGAGAAGGAAGAAGAGAGAGAGAGAAGGAAGAAGAGAGAGAGAGAAGGAAGAAGAGAGAGAGAGAGAAGGAAGAAGTAAGAGAGGGAGAGAGAGAAGGAAGAGAGAGGGAGAGAAAGACGAAAGAAGGGAAATGGAGAAAGAAAAAGAAATACAAAATCACAAGTTTAAGCGGTACTTAACTGAAGAGTCTGAATATCGAACGTGTTTAAAATAAAATTTCGAATGACAAACTGTAGTCTCATACAGATGAGATCGAGTAGATGTGAAGTACCTGGAATGTGCAATTAAAAAGTCAGTTGTATTCATAAACATTACCATAGAACTCTAAATGAAAATCTAACGTTTTTTAAATAACATGACACTGAAGTTGAAAGGCGTCAGTCTATCTTATAGATATTAAAATATATTACAGCAATTATCAGATATAGGAAATGATAAGAATAAAGTGTTTAAAGAAAAACAGAAAATCGTAACGTAGATCTTGATAAGACAGGATGGACGGAAGGCTTCAATCAAGTATACAGAATCGCCTTAAATATGGGACAAAATGAATAATAGCACAGGGAAAGAAACATTTTAGAAACGCTAATTTTGGTCAATCTATTAAAACTTTTCACATCAAAGAACCACATCATTACTTTCAAGATATTGCTACATAAGACAATAGTTTTAACACGCTCTGACCTCTGAATCACGTTTGTGTGGATAAAAACTATGGAGAATTGTTGACTTCATATATGTAGAAGGGTGATTCAGGTAAAAACGATAGCAAGGCAGAATTTACCGGCACTGGAGAAATATCGTAGTTTAAGATGCTCAGAGCCTAAGGATGTCCAATTGTATGACATTGGCTTGCAATCGAGATCAGTAGAACGACTTTCTGAAAAAGACAATACTGGTTGTAGTGTAGATGGTGATGAATTTTCATATTTGTATGTATGTATCATAAATATCGGCGCATTTTTACCACTAGTTTATTAGTGGCCTGGCTAGTATTTAACATAATTTTAAGAATTGATTTCATTTTTATTAGAAAAAAATAACAAACTAATATTATCGAAAAAAATTGGAAAAAATGATATTGAACAAATAATATATATATATAATATATATTATACATTTATATATTATTATTATATAATAAGGAACTTAAATAAATTAAAACTCATTTAAGGCATTGATAGTAGGCAGATTTCAAATCTAGAAAACGAAGCGACCTTTCTATACAGAAACGTAAAACAAAAGTTTTATAATAACATTTTAAACAAGTTCTATAGAAACGTTCTACTTAAAGTGATTGCTAATAATACTTTAATTTAGAATCATGAACTTAACATATAAGTATCTCAGCAACAACACAGCGAATTTTATCAGTGTAGATACTGAGTAGCACAGTATCTATAGTAACAAAGAATAATTAGTAAGGAAAGGTTTAAAGTCCACTAAATAAAATAACAAGAAAATTACTAATGCAATTAAATGAAATATACAACACACTCGTATCTAAGTATTTACAATTATATAGTAAATACGTATTTCCAGATACGAAGTTCTACTTTTGTACTAAAGCAACACGAATCAAATACACTGGGTGGGTTCAAATTTCAAGTAAATACTAGGTGTATGTACAACTTACGAGAATACCTTATGATACAGAATGAAATGAGCACATACATTTGTATGTGCCTATATAGGTGTTTGACTTTCAATGGATTTTAGTACAGAACTTAAAATATAAAATACATGGTAACACATACTGAGCATATTATACAGAGTGTGAGTGTGATTTACATGTACATACATGTGAAATTTAAATACGGGCAGTAATGAGTAATGTCAAAATGACTTTCAAACTAAGACAATTTACATAAATTATTTATTTTATTTCGATGACTGGACATTATGAAGATATTTAATCTTAGTTTAACCCATTTAATTAAGCGTACTTTAAATACAGATCTTTAAGAAACTAGTTAGTCAAACAATGATTAGGCTAAATGAAGATATATAAAAAGATCAAACAGTGAAGCCTCACATACAGTCTGGGAAGTCTGAAAAAGGACAGACTTTATCAGTGTTAAAAAGTAACTAGGCTTAATGGAGTTAAGGAACTATTGCGGTCAACTGCTGAATAGGTAAGTCTTCTTTGACGAGAACAATTAACTAATTCGTAGACCATTGAAATAATGATTAACGGAAATATAGGCATTCGTATGGTCAAAAGAAGTCCAGCGCCATCGCTTGACGGTCGGTGATCGTTTTCCATTGGCATTTTTTTTATCACGAAAAAATTTTGGAAGTACTACAATTTCATGTGCAACTATATACCTATGTTGATGAGTGAAAGGGTGGACGTTTTAGCAAGATTATAAACCATCACACAAGACCAACACACAACAACCAACAATGACTAAGAGACAAAATTACAGGTGAATGTTATTTTAAAGTACTGCAACAATATAGAGCTTTCATAATATTTTTAATATAACTCTGTCGCCTGCAGCTTAGTAGTTTTGACTCCTGGTTTATGCAGGTGTTTTCATGTCTTCGTCGAAAGTTGTTTCTTATATTAAGGTGAGTGTAGCCTGTTGTTGCCAGCACTACGGGTTCCATAAGAGAACAGTTTGCGTATATGGCTGTCACAGCATGTCAACGACCCCCATTTCCTTTCATTTCGTTTACTGTATGTTTTGAATAGTTTTATACCATAGTTCATGGTTAGACACCCGTTTCGGTCGTCCTTTTTTAAAATTGCATGATTGTCTTCTTGGTATTCCATATTTTGCAGGCCAAGATCAGTTCTTATGTATTTTAAAAATTATTTTTTTTTTTGCGAATAGAGGAAGACTACACAGACTTTATATAGTGTGTGACGATCATCACCCGAAATAAATATAATATTCCGTGGGTTTAATACAAATAAACTTTAAATAAAAAAATGCAGTTCTTAAAAGTGAAATTCAATTGCTCTAAAAAAGAAAAAATAAGTAAACTATACAGGTGTTGTTATCAGTTCCAAGCATTTTCTTCTGTGACTTAACTAGACCCATAATTGATCTCATTAATGGGAGTAAAGCAGGTTGCGTACTTGAATAAGTGAAATCAAATGTCTATTATATATTTTTACATAGAATAGAAAAATAATTTATTTAATTATTAGAAAAACTGAGCGATTATGCTAATCTGCATCCTCCACCCATTTTGGTTCCATTGCTTTTTGCTTGTTTGGTTGCAAGAATGTATGACATTTTTATAAACCGATTTATAAATCTTTTATTTTAATAATTGTGCATTTGTTAATGTTTTCTTATCAACAAAATAATTAAAAACAAATAAAAATATTTGCGCCTTACACACTATAAAAAAATGTTCTCATGGAAGATATGACTACATTTTGTATGTACTGGTTCGTTTATATATACTTTTTATAGAACACAAGGTTTCTCTGAAATGGGTTTATTGTTTCATTAAAATATAATGAAACAATTTATGCTGAAATAATTAAGTGAAATTTTGCTGTATGTGAACACGAGTATAGCTTCTTATATAGGTATATGATTTATGCCTAGACATAAAATGAAAACATAATACAGGGGCAAAGGTTTATGGCTTGCAAGTAGTATTTGTGAAAAAAGCCGACTGACTTAATCAATATCTACTGTTTTCAAAAGCATGGGAAATTCCGAATTTTTATGGTAAATTACTTTTATTAGAACTTTGTTGTGTTAATAATTAATTATCTAAAGATAAATACATAAGCGTATTTGTAATTACCCAATAAACTTGTTATCAGCGAACGCTGCTGAACCATTATCGACTTTAGTACGAATATTCACCAATTAATTTCAGTGAAAGGAAATATTATAATTTGGGTACCTGATATCTTGTACAAATACGAAAAAAACTCATATACTTTTAAAAAACATGTCAATTTCTTTGGGAAACTGAAATATACAGTGGCCCTCATCTGTAAAGGTTTAACCATTTTTGCATTACATTCGCATATTTATTTAAACGAACTTTGCATATTCTATATTTTTCGCCCTACCTCACCCGTTATTTGTTTTTATTTATTTTGATATATTGGTCCTCATAATACAATGCTCTCTCATTAAAGTTATAAACCCACAGGAAAAGAAAGTCTATATTCTAATATTTAGTTGTTTAAATCTATTTTAAAGCAGTTCATGAATATGGTGATATTATTAACTTATTGAGCAATAGTTCGAAGGTAACTCTATTTTGACAAAATATTGAATTAGCGAAATCCTGTACCTTTACGACAGAATCTCTCAAATCAATTCCTGTTCTTTTCAGTCACAGAGACAGATTGACACATGATCACTTTCTGTGATAGTCCAACAAGCATAGTCTTAATTCAGTAGTCAGTTCAAGGGCACCATGGTCTACATAATCCAAATCTATTATTTCTTTCTTAACCAACAGATATAGATATCAGTTCTCACAAAATATTGGACAATAAAACGACACAGAGGCAAACTGGGTTTCCTCTATCGAAGAGCCCAATTGGGTTTGCTCTATCGAAACTTTAATAGTGTTCGCTAGCTTCGAGATAGAAACACCGGAAGAGCTGCACAAATTCTCCAATGATTATATACAATAAACATTACAACAATACTTAGAAGTTTACTCTGATCTCAATCGAATGTCGATAATGACAATGGACTTGTTTAATTTAACATATATAGAAAATTAAAGACACAAAACGATCATCTAAAAATATTCAACATACTTTATTTGAATATTAAATATTGTTTGAAATTAATCAATTTTTTGCTAACGGGAATTATTTTGAGGAGATAGATTATGGATTAGATAGTGTTGTTGTTGTAAACCATGGAGATCTATATAGCATAAGATATGAATACGAAGCAATACGAATATGGGGATTAGGATGTGATTGGGTAAAATAGGAGTAGCATGAGAAGTAAAAATTTTTTTGGGACATAGGAGAAATAAAGGCGAATGTGAATGTTATGTGAAGGATTCTGGTTTTTCAATAAGTCTGAGCTAAAAAGCACTCCGACTCAAATAAGTATGTTACGTAAAATAGTGTGAAATGTCAAATTAGTTTATATATATATATATATATCAAAAATAATATTTGCTTGAACTCAATAATAAAGTTTAATTTTTAAAACTTACTTGTAACCGGAAAGTATGTTAAGCAATGTACTTTTACCAGCACCCGAAGGACCCATGATGGCAGTAAGTTCACCTGACCGTAGGCGTCCACTGACTCCTTTCAGTATAACTTTGGCATCTAAAAATAAAAACGTGGTTGTTTATTACAAAATAAATAATAAATGATTTGAGTTACAAAAAAAATAATAATTTAAATGTAAAAGTAGTAGTTATACATAAATAAAGTTACGTCATTAGATATTACATAAATTTATATATACATATTTGGAATATTTTACAATCAAGAATATGGTTTGGTTTCACGGTTCAAATATAGTACTTTTTTTCCAGTCTTATGACAAGACAAGACAAATGATATATTCTAAATGTGCATAATACTTTGTGTATTTTTGCATATCTTAGTATATTGTTATGTACATCGTTTTTAAAAACAAAGGTATCAATTATTCCGATTATCAAGTATCTGATCTTTCTTGTTTTCTATAGTACAACTGGTCACTTTGTCTAGTACTGGTCACTTTGGAACTAGTTGTTCCAAAGTTTCTGATCATCTTGTTATGTGACCGAAGTAAGTCAGATATGTACAGGAGATTTTTATAAGTCTAGTTTTGCAATTAATGTCTCAAACATGGAGATATTGGTTTTGTCAGCCCCCGATGAAGTTCTTAACAGTCGTTGACGTATCTTCAATGCACTTAATCGAAGAAAATTCAATCTTATTATATTTGTGTGAGTTTTATGATAGATTTGGCCATTTCAAAATGGCGTTAAATTTTTTCGAAACTTCCATCTGTGTTTTTTTTTAAGAGAGTTCTTAGCAATCATTATCGGGCTATTCTATAAGTGAAATTAGGTCCTCTTAGGTAGATCTGATTAATGATATATTTTATGCTTCTTATAAATAGTGCTTAAAAGAGTAGTGAAGTGCATTTATTCCGCTTATAAATAATTAATCCAGTACTACAATTTACATATTGTATTGCCAAGAACTTTATACTAACATGTGAGAAATCATACTTGCTAGGCAACTAGTTAATCAAAGGACAACAACACAACAACAAAGGACAATGAAATATCTTTGGTAGATAGAGTCAGTATCTTTTTTTATATCAAATTCAAAGTACTTTTAAAGGTTTAATATTAATACTCGTATCTTCAACTCGTTAAAGATCGTTTGATTTGAATATAGGAATAGGAATAAAGAGCAGCACTGCGACCATGTTTGATATTTTGCTGCAAAAAACCATAACCAAACAGAAGACTTCTCGCCTTCCGAATGAAAGCCGGAATGTCAGCTGTCAGAACGGAAGAGTAGTTCTCGATCCAGTGAACTCCTCCTGGTCCAGATCAAGGTTGGGCAGTCACAAAGAATGTAACTAAATGATTTGAATATAGCAAAGTACCAAATATTACTAATGCCATAGAAAATTTATAACTTTGAGTCTTAGATTATTAGTACATGAATATACATATATGGAATGTGTTATGTTTAAAAAGTTTGACCAAATTTAAGAACTAGATAATCGTAGACGAAAATAACGAATTAAAATATTTTTAATGCCTTTTGTTGTTGTGACATTTCACAAAAAGTGTCAAATAATTCTATCTTAAACAAGAAAACATTTTTTTTTATTTTTTAAATTCTTTTTAACTTTCGTGTTTCAAGAAAATTATAGTCGCTTGTTAAATTTAATTAATTTTAATTTGTTTACTAACTTTGGACAGAAAAAAATTATAAAATCATGCTGACATTTATTTTGTGTAAACACAAACCTGAAACTTCATCAATTTTTTTTTGATATTTTGAGATTTAACATTTTTTTATTGCAAAAAATAATTGTTCAAATAATTGAGTTCAAAAATAAACAAAATTTAAAATTAATTTTAGTATATCTTATAAAAATGTGTTTATAGAGAGAGATACATACATATATTACTTATATACCATATACTACTTTATAGTGAAGTGCATCAAACAAACATTTTTAACTAATGATAATTTATATGGTACTTAGAAAATAAAATTATCATCACTTTTTTTATTATTATTTGAATAAAAGTTCAAATTTCCTAATTTTTCTTATATTAATAATTAATTTAATTGGTGATTAATGTTATAAAGCACGACAATTATTCAAAAAACTAAAAAGGAAGTTGCTGCACTCTGCATTCTTATGAGTATAAATTGTAAAATAAATTATATTTATTATGAAAAGATAATAAATTAAATTTTATGTAACCATTTTTGTTAATAATGCATATATAAAAAGCAGTGCAATCGAACTTATCGTTCGTCAACAAAAATGAAATGCATCAAGACTGACTGAAGTACTTTGACACATAAACTTGTGGACTGGTTGGTCAACGCCCTTTTGATTGCACGACAGCAGTCCAAACAAAACTGAAGCACCTCCAAAATAAGTTCACAAAAAAATAAAATTCAACAGTTTACATTAAAAAAAAAAAATCAGAAAAAACCGAATTAATGCTTACCGAGCATTATAAACACATTTACAGATCCACTTCCATTGCTGATAGTAACAAATACTTATTGGGTTGAGAAACTTAAATTACTAATCACGTTTAAATATACATAATATATATAATGCATATAAAATATATGAGTTCAATCAGATTTTTTGAAATCGGTCACCGATATTTTGTTGTGATCATCGATGATCGGACCCCAATAAAATAGCACGTAGTGGAGGCGCAACAAAGTTTGAAGGACAGTTAATGTACAAAAACCTTGAAAAAGGTTAAATTGATAAGGAAGACTACAAATTGATCGGTCGGTAATGCTATTAAGTACTAATACACATATGTATGTATATTGAAAAAATTCGAGGAAAAGAACAATTGCTCGCCGATGCCAGAATAGAGTAGAGTACGTATAGAGTACATTTATGGTATAAAAAAAATTTTAAACAAATTAAAAATTGTCATTAGTAATTATAGCTAAACTGTTTAAATTACAATGGCAATTATTAACTAATTTACTTAATTGTAAGCGAAGTTAATGGCGCAATAAATATATCAAATTTTGCAATCGAAATATGAGAAGTTGTTTGACGTGTTAAGGTGGTGTTACAGATTATTTTAGTTCAGTCAAGAATTTGGTAATTTTTCTACTGATCAATAGCGCGAACAGTAACGAAAAAATGTTCATAATAAAACTACAAAATAAAAACTAATGATTTAAAGTATTCGGGTATTACGATGTTTGCGTAACTCGAATTCAAACTATGGGTGACACGGTCTGGTCTGATCAAAAACATAATCTTCTGTAGTTGTTTTCTTTGGCAATATTAGGTCTGTTCCACGAGCTACTCGTCATAAAACTCAAGTAAAACACAAGTTAGGTACAAACTGAGAGCGTAACACAAATAAAGTGCCAAATTACGCTTTTTACACAGATTTTCAAGGAACAGCTTTGTGTAAAATCTGGTCCAGTGCTGTGCAAATAAACAATCAAAACAGCTGATTCGCACATCAACACAAATTTTACTTGAAATCAAATGTACGTGTCATTTCTGTGTAGCATTTTCAAATTTCGACAGGGATGTTACGCTCTCTCGGATGGTCTCATTTGTTCGTAAATTGTGAAATTGTGGTTATTGTGTGATACATTATCCCGATATGATCCAGGAAAGTTCTAGCAATCATTTACTTATTGAACTTATCTTAAATATTATATAATATTTTAAATACACCAAGTCGAATGTTCTCTTTGTAATACCCAGACAAATAAACTTTAACACAAGTACTTTTATTTACCATAATTGATCTGAGAAAAAAAAACTATAACAATTTATTGACACAATCGGTCGAGAATTGAAATAACTTTGTGAGAAAATTAGTCAAAATATCACGTCATGAATGTTGCGGAAGCGAAACTACTTAAATTCCAATAATGAATAGCGACGAATAACGACTTGAAATTAAATAATAAAAAAATTAAATAAATAAGATAATAATAGCACCTCCGAGTGAGTGATCAAAAGTAGCAAATAAATAAATAAAACACTAAAATGTAAGCAAACAAATCAGCAACTCAACAGACCAGACCAACACGCCAAAAAGCCGGTACGAGGCTTTCAAATTTTTGTTTTGCCTATTGCCAAGATACCGAAAACAATCTTAATAGCGAAGAAATTTTTTACCGCCAAGACAGGCGATAACACTTAGCAATTTTGAAAAATATGCACAAATTTTGTTATTCATTTTGCATAAATTTGCTTCTGATTTGCTAAATTTCTGCATAACTTCAACTAATTTAATTTTAATTAATTAAAATACTGACTGAAAATACAGAAAATACAGAAAAACTAGAAAAAAATAATAAAAGCGCGAAACTAAAACATTTAATAGTATTAAACAGTCTTTTAGAATTTTTTCGTTAATACTTGTTAAGTCAAGACGCAGCGAGTGAGTACCGGGTAAACATCACATCACATGTGGAGAGTCCGTCCCAATGAAGGCCAATCCAACTCGCTATTTTGGCAAATCGTTTAAAAACTTATTTCGAATTCCGTACACGTTCACGATTTTGTCTGTTAGTTTGTTGAACAAAATGTAAATGGTTTAATTAAATAGGAAATGAAATCGTACCGACTGACTGTATGATACGATACGATTCGATTCGATTCGATTCGACTTAATAGTGCAAACTCAGACTCATTAATAGGTGGAACAACAACCACCTGACGATGGTCACACAACGAAGTTGTCGTAGCATTGAAAGACCAATAAAACGTGAGTAAAGCAGCAGATGTGGAAAAATTTCTTCCATTAAATGGGGAAAAATTACCAGGTCTTTCAATGGAATAACAATATGAGAAACTCATATAACAATCACATATTACTCATATTCGTAATTTCTCCTAATGTCCCTCTATTAACTTGTTTCTTCAATTATAGTCTCATCGATAACACGCTACCACTGTTCACGTCTAAATATTAACTTCCGCAAATATTCGAACAACCTATATTACTATATTACCACATTAACAACAACAAAATCATACACTCAATATTTGTATCCATACTAACGAATTTTATAGAAAAGATTACTAACATCATAGAAGGTAACATTTTCATGTACACATATTTAAAGAA